TGCTGCCCCCTGATCATGCGAGTGGCCTCCTCTGGACCCTCTCCATGTTGTCCACATCCCTCCTGAAGTGTGGCGCCCAGAACTGGATGCAGTACTCCAGCTGCAGCCTGACCAGTGCTGCACAGAGGGGGAGGATCACCCCCCTGGACCTGCTCGAGATGCATCTGTGGATGCATGACAAGGTGCGGTTGGCCTTCCTGACCACGTCCCCACACTGCCGGCCCATGTTCATCTTGGAGTCAATGATTCGTTGGGGTCCTGGTTCACACTCCTCTCTGTTTTCTCACTGCAGACTTTGCTATGGAGTAAGTGCACTCACTCCACTCTGTGCCAGCTCGAGAGAGGGCAGAACCTCATTGCAAAAGAGCGAGTAGTCTAAAAAGACAGAGGAGACAAGGCAGGCTCACACTGCACTGGCTGCCGAGAAGGTGGACTTCTTACAAAAAAGCCTCAACAGAAAATGTTCAGCAAATCCCATACAAGGGCTTTCTTCCCTGTCCTCCAATGTCAATCTCCGTCCTCACCTACTCAGCACTCTTCATCCTTGATGAGAAAAATCCCTCTTTCCCTTATGCAGCACTCAGTACCTCAGTGGCAGGCATGATTTAAATTTATAGACAGGCAGGCAGGCAGATCAATACACAGATAAAGTCAATCCTGCAGCAATACGTATGCTTTCAAGGCAAAGAGAGCTAGACAGACAGATACATAGGAAGTTCCCATGTAACAAAAATAAATAGGAGTTGAAGGGAAGTCTAATGTCCTGGGAATGGAACATGCAAGCAAATGAATCTCAGCACAAGAGATTCTCCCCACTCACATTATATCGCTTAATATACAGGCTCTTCATAAAGTCCTTGTGCGCTGTTAAATTTTAATGACATAGGTTGTAGGTATGATAGAACCAATCTGTAAATGGGATTTAAAAGCAAATTTATTAAAGTTTTAGGACAACTAGAGTACACAGTGCTAGACTTTGTAAGTAATAACACATTTTTTCTTATTTCACATCCTTTGCCAAATGAAAAATGGCTACTGTAGACGAGAAGGTAAACTGTCCTGTGGCTAGCAGAACTGAAGTCCATATCAGCTGTGAGAAGAAAACGGTGGTTATGTCGAAGTCTAGCATTGTGTACTCGAGTTGTCCTAGAACTTTAATAAATTTGCTTTGAAATGCCATTTACAGATTGTTTCTATCACACCTACAACCTAAGTCATTAAAGTTTAAAAGTGCACACGGACTTTATGAAGACCCTGTATAATGAAACCGGCTCATACATGTTAGGTTCCCTCGTACCTGGAGGACACTGGTTTGTGAGCTGCTCGTTAAAATTTAGCCATTAAAGAACAGAAATCTGGTTCCCTGAGGGCTGAGGTTGGGAATGTCTCTTGTAACCCTCCTGCTTGCTTGTCCTTCCATGATGCTCATGTTTTTGTATAAACAAGCGTCCTTTTTGAAAGCTACAGATGAGACTGCATAATGGAGGAAATTTGAGTTTTTCCCAAGCTGTGAGTGTGAGACTCGCAGCCCAGACAGGGCTGGGTGAGGGCACAGCTCTGTGTTGTTTTTGAGCAGTTTCCTTGTCTTGGGAGTGCACGTAGCTGTCCTCAGTCCCATGAGTGTGCATGAAATGAAGGTCCTGGGTGCCCCCACTTTAAGAAATAAGATAATGGTTAAATCCAGCCCTGCTGCATGCTGCTTGAGGAAAGTAGTTAAAGGCACTTACCGAGCATCCCTTTGTTTGAACGGGACAAGCACATATCCTTCTCGGCACTGGGTAGCACAAACCCAACCACAAACACCTCGATTCCATCCGCCATCAGTGCCAAGCCGAGAACAAAGAAGAGTGTCCACTGGAAGCGCCCGTGGCCACACTCTTCAATGATGTTTTCATATTGGTGGGCAAGCTGTTCCTCATCCTCCATCCTCTGTGTCATGAGGTCTGCATGGTCCCTATAGTCATCAGCCACACCAGGGGCTTTCTTCTTCTGCTTGCCCTTAATGTCATCTGGGTGAGGGATGCCCTGATATTCTCCTTCATAGACTTCGTCATCTTCATCATGCCCTTCTGTGGCATCACTCTGGGCATCTTCTTCTTGAGCTGGCTCATTGCCACCGTGGTAATAGCCATCACTGGGTGCATACCCTTCATAGCTACTATCCTGATACCTGTAGTCATCTGACACTTGGTTCATCTCTCGTGCTATATCCTTAGCCCCTTGATACAGGTTTGCATTGTTTCTATACCTATCATCCATTCTGAGCGTAGATTTTTACTCTCTCTCTATATATATATTGTTTATTTGTGTGTGCAATTTCTGGTATCAGCTACACAAACATAACTTGTGTCTCCTTTAGAAAACGGACTTGATGCAAAGTTCACACGGCTTAAAAAAGAGTAAATCTTGAAAGAAGAGCTTCTGACAGGGCTTTTCATAAAGTTTCACGTTTCAGCTCTAATTTTTTACTTGCTTTCTTCAGGAGGAGGGAAGGTGTAGCTAGGTCGTTGGCAAGAGATAAGTGAAGGATCAGCAAGTTTGTTCAACCAGGAGCTAAGAGGACTTGGCAGGTTGCTTGTTTTTCAGATTCATTGTGCTGATGAAGGTCATGATCTGAGAATGAGAAAGCAATAGTGATGAAACAGCGGCACAAAGAGGAGGGAAATGCACAGAGTTAAATATACAGCCTTTTGAATCTCCAAAAAAAAAAAGAAGATGGAAAAGTTGGGGTTTATTGCTGCATTTTACAAATAGGTAAAGCCCAACCCACCCCCCTTTTGGGCTCCCCCATCCCAGTCATACAAATGCTTTAAGTAGGCTGGGGGCAGCGTGCAGCATGGTGCCTACTTTGAACCACACAATGTCATCCCAAGAAGTCCTGCCTCCAAAACTCATCCTAGGGCTCCATTGAGAATATCAAGTAGTGCTGATCAGTCAGTGCTTTTAGGTTACTACAGACATCTCTGTCTGCCTATCTGGACCTCAGTCATTATGGTATTTTAGACTTTCCTCATAATTAAAATAACCTGAACTATACATTTTTTTAAACCAAAGCCCAGATGCAATTTTATTACATGGATTTTGCTTTCATAAGTGTCCCCCCGCTTTGCAGAAAGACGAGGAAGAGAACACAAGTGAAGAGAGAGATTCTCATTTAACTATGCCCTGTTTATTCCAAGTCTAATAGCCACTGGATGAGAAGTTTTCACAGCAAGGAACAAATGAAGTTAATATGAAATCATCACCCTCTTTGGAGAAACCTGAAAAAAGCCAAATCATTTATAAATAGTCTCAGATTTTGAACACCTGGATTCAATTATTTTTTCAAGTTGAATTGCAGCCAGTTGGCTCTACTGTGCTCTCTGGCATTTGTCCCTGTGCACAACTGAAAATAAAGGCTTTGGAAGAAAAGGATCACTGGTAAATAAACACGGAGTCATGCTAGAAAAGTTAAAACACTGCAGACATGCTAGACACTTAGTTTCTGCTGTCTGGTTCTAGCCTAAATAAATGAATAAGCCATGAAATGACATAGCTATATTGATGTGGAGCCTGCGGGCACTATGATTTTGTATGCGCGTAAATGTATGCACACACAAACTGTATATAAGTGTCAGCAGAGTTTAACGTGCAAAGCTGGTATTCTAACTAGCAATGCAGACTCTCTCCACTTCAGAATATTATCCCTGCCGCCTAGACACGGTGGAAATGCCATAAAACTAAAAAGCTGTACGAGTCAGAAAATAAATATCACAAAATAAACCTTCTCAAATGTTCATGCTAGAAGGAAATTAAGGGAATTAAAGTCCAATTAGCATGGAAAATGCTGCTGTCAAGTCAAATATAGCCTATGCATACAGAACTAGGCCTTTTCTTGCTGCGTTGAAAAGCATCCCTTTGTGTATGTATGGGGATCCACCAAGAAGCCCCAAGCGTTTATGAAAAGCCCCGAGCGTCCTGCTGAGATATGTATGCAACACCCTAAGGAGTTGCATGCAGAGTAAACAGGTTTCCTTCCCGTTGCTGCGGCGTCCTATGATAGATCTGCTCACTAGCTCATTTACCAAAGAACTCTTCAAACCTGTTAATGGAGCTTGCTAACAGCAGGAAGTGTGAGCATGCTGGGCAAGCATATATCCTTTTAAAGAGGCAGCTTCCCTTTACTCTTTTCCAGTGCAATGCTACGTATGTGGCCTGATACTTCCAGGTTCACTTTTGAACCACCTGCTGCTTCACAGATCTGGGCAAGTTTCCTTAATATGATTCCCCCGGAAGTGGCATCATAAGCCTTTCTGGGAGTATGGTAAGGCCTGGCACTTGCAGAGTAACATTGTGGAATCAGAGCTCGTGGCAGAGGTGATACCTTTCATTAGACAAACTAGATGTTTGCAAAACAAAAAAATTATTTAATTGCAAACTTTCGGGCACAAGCCCCCTTCTCATGGCACTGTATATATGCCAAGGACGTTGCTTTAACTGAGTGCAGAATACCTGTCTCCACCACTGCTGGGTTGGGTTTGTTCTCATTAGCTTTTGAGCATTCAAGAATGACCTCACTTCCAACAGTCACTGAGGAACTAGTCATTTGACGACCAGTCTTACAGCAAATTAGTGGCCCAGTATTAACTGCGTATAAAACTTGGCCCCGTGGCGGTGATTGACCCTAATCTCTTGAGGCATGACCTACAAGAAGCTAAGTAGGAGGTTTCCTAGGTCTGGGACAGACTGCAGAGAAGAGTGAGCCAAAGTTGAGGACTGAATATTGTGGATCCCTCCAAAGCACACCTCACTGTCCTCTGATGGCACCGCTCCTTGAGTGCCCAAGGCCTGACCGCTCCTCCCCACCCAGGCACAATCAGCCTTTTAGAAAGGCCTTTTGCCTTAAAAGAAACCTAGGGAAAACAAGCATCTTTTGGCCGGAAGCAGACCAGGATGCTAGGCTCTCCACTGATTTCTTTCAGGATCACACGTGCAGCTTAAGGCATGAGTTTCGCTAACCAAAAGACCTGCAAATAAGATGCTTTCCCTTTAAGATCCAGGAAGCCAGCACCTCTCAGCAACCACTGCAAGGCCATCCCTCACTGCTGTAGCTCCCCTGACATTTGTGGCTGCATTAAGCAAGTTTCTCCATTCCCTTTCTTTTTGCTGAATCACCCCATACATTTTACATTAGGTTAAAAAGGAAGCCGGGCCGTTTTCCAAGACTCAGAGAGCAACTGATAATGAAAAAGAAACAAAACCCCCCCACAACCCTAGCAGCACGGAAGTGGTTCCATCAAGTCAGAAAGATCAAGAGACCGAAGCACACATCTAAGTCAGGAGAAGCATTTGCATCTAGTCTTGGTCTGTTTATATGCAGGGGAGTTAATACATTTGACAGCCATCAGAGGCACTTAATAGGTTTTACAGCACTCGTTTCATTGCTAAGGGGCTTCTAGTGTTAGTTTGAAAAATATCCAGGCTGCTGGAGAGCTGAAAAAACATCTCATTTGTGAAATAGCCTCTATTATACTAAGACTCATGCCAGGGGTGAACATTATGTTCTTGGATTCAGTGAAAATTGAATTCCACAGAGACATATTTTCTTTTAAAAAGAAAGGGGCAGGGTTTTGAACAAAAGGAACAATATTCCCTGCCACGGTGAATCCTAAGAAACAGCAGAACCTATTACTGAACTCTTCGTGTAGCATTTGTTGGCAGGTTATGGTTCAAAGTGACCCAGGTCTCAGCCTGTCAAAGCAGAGTGTGTGACCTCAATGTATTTCAACTGCTGCTTGCTTTTCTGGAAATAAAGAATTGTTCTATGCTACTTGTTCTATAAAAGGAACCAAAAAGCTTTCTTTCTAAATGAAAAAATAATATGCCATTAGCAAACATTAAAAGGTTCAAAATCAGTGGGACAATTTCAAATCCCAGATCAGTCACAGAATGTAAGCCTAGGCAAATATATACATAAAGGCAAATATATGCATAAGAAGACAACATCATTTTAAATAATTTTCAATACCAAGATTTGAGCTGGGGGTTCACTATGCCACCTGCAATAATAGATGTCCAGGAGCTGGAAGAGACAGGAGAGACCCACTGGAGAATCCAAACTAGAAGAATTGTTTTCTACAGCATGGCACCAGTACATCAAGGAATACGGGGAATGCATGTCTCTCGGTGTGGACACATGTACATTTGGGGCCCTTTCAGATGGGGAATGTTTTAAAAAGGCAGCAGCTGGTATGTTCTAATGGCAGGTCCGAACCAATAGAGAATGGTGTAAATGTAGCAAAACTGCTCCAACTTTAAACCTGGATGAATTCATGTTAAAGCTGGAGCAGTTTTGCTACATCAGAATTGTTCTTGGTTTGTTCACATGCAAGAATTGGAACATGCCAACTGCTGCCCTTTTAAAATGTTCCCCTTCGGACAGGGTCCCAAATGTACATGTTCACACCCTGTTGGTATGGTCTTATTGGCTAGTGATATCATCTGTTGCAGAACAAAAATGCAACGCAGAATTCAAGTCTTGGTAAGTCAGAAGCTTTCCAGTTCACATTGATTTTACAGACTGCAAGGTTGTGGCCTGTTCAACCCTAGCAGTAGCCCAGGGTCATCACAGCTTCTCAGTGGCCTCTGAGTGTTTCTTCATTTTGTAGATCTGCTAGAGACCAGAGGTAAATCCGTCATTTCCACAGACAATGTCTAGCAACATTTTCTGGGGTTTAGAGTAGGAGAAGTGCACCCTGTCCCAGAGCAGAGCTCTCTATTGCTACAGCATTTGCAGAATCCCAGAGAATATACTCACTGTAACATGCAACTACTTGGCCAACAAGTCTGCTTTGATCTAAAGTGACACAAGCCACCCACTGGCTACCACCACTGTGTTTTGCATAAAAGCCTTTCTCTGTTACATGTACTTATACCATCAGTCATTAGTTTCCATGAAAGTCTAGGGAATGTACCTGTGGTCGGAAAGCACCATATAGTCCATTATCGTTATCCCCCCACTTTTATTACACACAGAGGACCCAACCCAATGCCCAGTGATATCAGTGACCATCCTCCCACTAGTTTCACGGGGAGCTGGGTTGTCTCCGGAGCAGTCTAAGGACATGCTTAGGAACTGTGTTAGGAACACAGGGCTGGAAAGTCCTCCTGGCTCATCGTATCTGGCCCCTCATACTGCAGACAACTGTGTCATATGTTCCCTTTCAAAAAATCATCAAGCCCCAGCTTAGAAGTCATTAGATGTTTCAACCCCTTCTACCTAAAGGAAGGCTATAGCAGAACCTGCCCACACTGATCCTTAGGAAACACCTTCTGATGTTCAGCTTAAATGTACTCAGAGGTGGTTTTTACCCATTTGTACTGGTGCAAGCATTGCCCTTTAAATCTTCTTCCTCCCTAGTCTTCATGCCCCATCCCATGAGCTAGCAAACTTTGCCATTGGACTAGGGAGGATGCAGTACAGGAGCTGCTCCCTAAAGAAAGGAGCGGTTGTCATTTCAGTTATTTTATTAACTGATGCCAGCTTAACCAGAAGAGCTGTAACTAGGGTTGCCACTTGGTCATGCCATTCAGAGTCCTTCACAGCCATCTCTAACTCCTGACCTGAGCAAAGT